TTTTAAGGTATTTACAGCATAGTGCAGCTAAAGCTGATAGAGAGATAAGAAACACTTATGGTGTATTGTAAAAGATACAGAAACAGTTTCTGATTGTGATGGTGTGAATGATAACATCTGTATCATCTCACTCTTCTCATAGGACTAAAAATAGAATGAAAAGTTTAATAGAATAATAGAATAAAGAATAAAAGAATAAGCTGCCCCATCTCTGGGTCAGAAAAGAACATAATCCGACAGCACAGGGAGTGTGGCCCATCCCCTCCTCTCCCTCCAGCTCATCCCCTTTCCCTGCGCTCTGGCTCGGGAGCCAGCTGCCGGGACAGAGGCTGACCTATATCCAGCTCTGACTGCCCACCACGTTTTTTGTTTTTTTTTAAAAACCCATTTTCCCCCAGATCTGTTCTGAAAAAGGACGGTCAAACCCCTGCCCGTGGCGCTCGCATCCCCGCAGGGAGCCCTCGGCGCGCAGCCCGCGGCACGGGGGAGATGCGAGCGGCTGATAGCGCTGAGAAAGGAAGGATGTCGGGCCCGGCACAGGTGAGGGAGGAGGTGCCGCGGGGCTGGGCGGCAGCCCTGAGCACGGCAGATAATGTCACGCTGAGCTGCGGTTCACCGCAGCGGCCCCGTGACCGGCCCGGCGGTCGGGCGGCGGGGGAACAGCGGAACGGGCTCGTTTTCCCACAGCGCGGCTCGCACGGGGCTGGCTGGGAGCCCTCGGCACTGAAAACCCTTCCCCAGAGCTTCGGGGATGAGGGACAGACACACACACACACCCAGCTGGGTTTTTCCGTGGGATGAGAGTTGGGAAAGGACAAGAAGCCTTTCCAAGCATCACCACAGCCTCCAAGATGACAGCAACCTGTCCTGCACCCCTTTACACGAAATTTCTCTACTGGGGTTGAGACAGTGTTTAACCCATGCAAGTCCTCGGCACTAAAAACCCTTCCCCAAATGTTCAGGGATGAGGGACAGCCACAAACACCCAGGTGGGATGAAAATTGGTAAAGGACAAGAAGCACGAGGCTTTCCAAGGGTTTCCAGGGGTTTCATCACCACAACTTCCAAGATGACAGCATCCTGTCCTGCACCCTTTTTACCCAACACAAATTTTCTCCACTGGGGTTGAGCCAATGCTCAACCCATGCGAGCCCTTGGCACTAAAAACCCTTCCCCAGATGTTCAGGGGTGAGGGTGTGCCCTGGTTCAGGGCAAATTTTGGAGAGCATAAACAGAAGAAGACGATTGGGAATAAAAGCATCATATAGTCAACCTAAGACATTGTGACAGCCACACACACCCAGCTGGGTTTTTCCATGGGATGAAAACTGGGAAAGGACCAGGAGCCTTTCCAGGGGTCTCCAGGGGTTTCATCACCACAGCCTCCAAGATGACAGCAATTGTCCTGCATCCCTTTACCCAACATGAAATTTCTCCACTGGGGTTGAGCCCTCAGCACTAAAAACCCTTCCCCAGATGTTCAAGGATGAGGGACAGCCATACTCACCTGGCTGGGTTTTTTCTGTGGGATGAAAATTGGGAAAGGACAAGCCTTTCCAAGCATCACCACAGCCTCCAAGAAGACAGCAACCTGCCCTGCACCCCCTATACCCAACACTAAATTTCTCCACTGGGGTTGAGACATTATGGGAATTTTTGAATGAGTTAGAGATGGGACTTCTGAACTGTGTTTGATGATGTGGGTGTTTGGTTTTTTTGTCTTTTACATAGGTAGGAAGGGTGAGTTTGGCTCGCATATTTATTGTATGGTTTAGAAGGTCATAAGACCCCTAGTTACAAGACTTCTTAAGGATTTACTGACTAATAAAACAAGGAGATTTAAGTTTTTTACTTAATCTTTAAATATTATGTCTTATTATTGTCTCATGTTACAGTGTAAGCTTTCTTAGCCAATCATGTTATGACACACAAACCTACAGTACTGCATTCTAAACTTCTTGTTTACCCTTGTAACTACTTCTATTTTTATATCTTTAAGACTCTAAACTTTCTTCTTTTTAGTTAAAGTGTCTCTGCTTTAAACTGTAAATCCACATTCTCCCTTCTAGCACCTAAGTCTGGAAGCCTTTTCTAAGGTCTCAGATAAAATTGTGTGTTTAATTCCAAGCCTGGCCTTACAAATTTCTGAGAGCTCCTTGCATTTTGGATTCCACAAGCCATAACTCTCTCCCTGTTTCCATTTATTTACCTCCAGAGGAGAAATTTTACTTGGATCTTCTTGAAAATGAAGCCAGTCACTCTCCCTCCTCCTCCTCCTCAGCCAAGGGGCTGCTCCGTGCCCGGTGGGGCTGATCCTGGAGGTGCCACCTGAGAGTGGGAATGAAGCACAAATGCCAAGGAGGATGGTGCCAGGGAGGAGCTGCAGTGATCAGGGCACAGCAGCAGCAGAAGGCTCTGGGATTTCAGCTCTGCCTCACAAAGCGGCTTAGGGACAGCACAGCTGAGCCAGGGGATGGATTAGAGGCAAAAACGGCTCTGGCTCCGGGGAAATCTCTGCACGGAGGCTCAAGGTGCTCAGAGAGTGCCATGGTCCTCCCCTGGGAGCAGCTGGGTCTGTCACAGCCTCCCTGTGCCCTGTCCCAGCCCCCCTGTGCCCTGTCCCCATCCCTTGGAGCTGGTCACTCTGGCATTTGCAGCCCAGCAAACGCTGCCCTGGCCCAGGCAGCCCCAGAGCCCTCTGTGCCAGGCTGGGGATGGTGACCCAGACACAGCCAGGGTGGCACAGGGTCAGGTTCCTCTTCCTTGCACTGACCCAAGGAGGAAACTCCTCTGGCAGTGTCACACCCCACGCTGGTGGCACTGCAGCAGCAGAGACTCTGCTCTGAGTCTGGGGCTGCACCAGCACAATGTGCCCCTCCACCCAGAGGAAATGTGGTCACAGGGGTGCTTTCAGCTGGGCAGCACCTCCCACCTGCAGCTGACTTTTAAAAATAATTAAAAAAAACCAAAACAAACAAACTCAACACAAAAACCCCCAAGTCTCCAAAACTAAATTAATCTCTTAAATTATTTTCATATGCTTGCGCAAAACCATGGCCTGAGTCTCTGGAGACAGAAGAGATTTGTCTGGTTGATTTCCTGGGATTTTCCCTGCATGGATGTGACTTTTCATGGCAGATCCATACATTGCAGCCCTGTTCCCATATTCCCTGATCCCAGAGTAAGAGCAGTGGCTGCACAGGGTGCCACAGGCCAGCCCTGCCATGGGATGTTCCCTGGTGGAAATTACCACAGCTGGGAGCTGGAGGGCTTTGGGAACCCATGGGCCTGGCTTTCCTTGTGATGAGGAACACAAGGACATCGTGGTCTGGGAGCTGGGAGGCTCCAGTCCCACTTCAGGCTGTGTTCATGGCACAGATGAGAACAGACACAGCCATGCCCCTCATCTGGGAACAAGCAGAGAGAGGCTGGAATGGATGGATCTGCCAGTTAATCAAAAATCAGGGGAAATCCCAGGAAATCAACCAGACAAGTCTCTTCTGTTGCCACCCTTCTGGATACAGAGGGCTCTTTGAAACATCACCATGTGTGGGAACTCCACATCTCCCTGCTCCCAGCATTCCTGCTGCCCAGAGGAACACATCCAACACCTTTTCCTCTCCACCTTAAAAAAAAAAAAAAAAAAAAAACAGGTAAAACCAAGCAGGTTTTACTTAAATCATCTTAACTGGAGGGATGCTGCAGAATTGGTAGCCTGGCATGATATTGTCAGGAAAATTTCTGCATGGAAAGGGTGCACAGGCCTTGGCAGGGGCTGCCCAGGGAGCTTTGCAGTGCCCAGCCCTGCAGGTGTCCCAGGAAGGGCTGGAGGCGGCACTCAGTGCTCTGGGCTGGGCACAAGGTGGGCATCATGGGCTGGCAGGGATTTTTCCACCCCATTGATTCTGAGATATGAGGAAGGAGCAATTTGAGACTCACCAGGACTTGAAAAAGCTCCAAATTGAAAATCTCATGACTCAAAAACCATCTCTGAATCTGTGATTTGGGTACTTTGAGGCATCAAGGTGACCAAAGCTGAGAGACTGCTGAAAGGAGGAGTCAGAGACATCTGCACTGGTCTGTCACTGCTGCTGCTGATACAAAGCCCCTGAAAGAGCATCACAGCCCTTCAGAGAACAACCATTGAGCCAAGGACACCTCACATCCAGTTTTCTGCCTTCTTTTAAAATTAACAAGTCTTAAATTCTTAGTGTCACTTAAAATGCTCCACAAGAAATGGCCAAAGGCAGCAGTAAATCACAGTGGTCAGCTGGTGTGACACAGGATGTCAGATTTGGGTGAAATGAAGAGATAAAATAAGAAAAACAGAGGCTGAATTGTACTCCCCTAATGGTTTAAATCCTGTCTGCTGTATTTTGTTATTTTCAGTGCTGTGGTAGAGAGGTACTAGACTTGTGACACGTGACTGAAGAGGAAGGGCAAGTTAAAATGAAATTCAGAATAAATAAATTATTTCCTACTTAATTTCTGAGGAATTTCTGAACCAATCCAGTGTCATCCCTGCCATGGGCAGGGACACCTTCCACTGTCCCAGGCTGGTCCAAGCCCCAAAATCCAGCCTGGCCTTGGGCACTTCCAGGGATCCAGGGCCTGCCCACCCTGCCCACCCTAATTCCCAATATCCCATTCAGCCCTGCCCTCTGAAGTAGGAAGCCATTCTCCTTGTCCTGTCACTAGAACAAGGAGAAAATAAGGAGTTTCCAGTGAATAAACTCTGCAGCTTCATGGTTTTTGTGGTGCTTCAAGTCAGGCTCCTCTCCTTGACATAATTTTCATGGGCTGTAAAAGTATCAGGAGACCTGGCAAGAGTGCTGGAGCTCTGTGCCTCTGTCTACAGCCAGGGAAAGTCTTATTTTAATCAAAGCAACCACTCTGAGCACAGATCCTGGAAAATTCAATTTAATTCCATCCCAATAATTATTCCAGGGCGCTGATACATCTTCCTTTATTTGTTTCTTCCAAGATGATGGTGATCAAATTCGATCTATCACAGCAAAAATTCATAATTAATCTAGAGAAATTTTAGCAGCCTGAGTTTGAAATTGCTGTAAATAAGGCTTCACAGCCTCTGCAAGACTCATGGCAGACTCTATGCAGCCATCAAAGTTGGAACGAGTGAATCCATCACCCCCACAGATCAGGAGAGGCTGAGTGTGAAGAATCATCTGTCCTGGACAATTGGGCACAGCTCTGGTGACCTGAGAATGACAAACATAAAGGGAGTGGGGAGAGAAGTATTTCATTTACCTGAATTTCACACACACAGAAAGATCTGAGTTCCTGAGAAGCACATCACAGAACCACAGGATGGTTTGGGTTGGAAGGGACCTTAAAAATCATCTCTGCCATGGGCAGGGACCTTCCACTATCCCAGGCTGCTCCAAGCCCTGTCCAGCCTGGCCTCCCACTCCAAAAGATCCAAACATTAACCAACAAATATCACAGTAAAATATTTACTTCTGGGAGATGAATAATTAGAGTAAAACTTGACTGTGTGTGGACATGTAGAAACTCTACAGTTTGTTGTGTTTTATTCTCAGTAGATATGACCTGTCTGAGATCAAAGAGGTGTGAGGGTGATCTCACATCAGCAAATGGGGCTTGCAAAATCCCAGACAGTTCAACCTCCTGTCTCTGATCACAGAACCCCAGGATCCCTGAGGCTGGAGAATCCCTGCCAGCCCATAGAGTCCCAGCTGTGCCCAGTGCCCACCTTGTCCCCAGCCCGGAGCACTGAGTGCCACCTCCAGCCCTTCCTGGGACACCTGCAGGGCTGGGCACTGCAAAGCTCCCTGGGCAGCCCCTGCCAAGGCCTGAGCACCCTTTCCATGCAGAAATTCCTCCTGATGTCCAACCTACTAAAGCATGATACTCTTAAAATTTTCTTTTGATCATTCCATGGATTTCCACCCAGTAAACCATTGCTGTATCCCCTCATGGGACTGTCAGCTTCCAAGAAATCTTGCTAAATCCAGGGATTTTTCCACTTTACCCTCCGCTGGCCACTGCTGAGACATTCTCTGCCATGTGTGGATGAGCTGCAAAACACCCACGTTTATGTTGCTGGCTGCATTTTCTGCTACTGGGTGTTAGCATCTCTCCAAAGGAGGAAATTAGCTGAAATAACCAATTATAACCCCTCACCTTTTATTCAGCTTAACAGAGGAATCTATCCAGGTATGGCAAATCCAGAGCTTCTCCCTCAGACCAGTTTTAAGACAGTACTTAATTTATTCCTGAATTTTTCTCACTGATTGAGCTGAGTACAAACAATGCAGAAAGACCTGACAGAAAAAGTCTTTTTTGAGCGTCTTTTCTCTTTGGCTACCCAGTGTTTATTTGGTGCTGGCTGCACCAAACAGCTACTACCCCGCCTGGTATTTGGTCAAAGATCTTGGAGGTGTTTTCCAGCCTCAGCAATTCCATATAAAGTGCCTGTGCCAAAGACACACGGTGGGTTGGGAAGCTGCTGGCTCTGAATGCTAATGGTGCCTTCACCATAATTAGAGCAAAGGGGATCCAGAGCTGCAGCTGTGCTGCTAAGTAGTGTCAGTAGAATTTTGGAAGTCCTAATCCCTCATCTGCCATGGATAATTGTAATGTCTGCATTTTAATCCCAGGATTGTGTTTGGCCATGTGAAGGATGTTACAGCCGGATTTAATTAACGAGTAGGATAAATCCCAACTAAAAGAGTCAGGGGAAACAGGCACCCATCTTATCAGTTCCCTTGGCCTCTGTGGCAACAGCTTATAATTGAAAGTAAAGAGAGCTTTAGGAGAAAGAGGGAGCTCTGCCCCAGATATTTCATTTAGGCAGTGATTATTTTATAGGGTGGTTTAGAGATCTCTTTATCGAGATAACGGGTCTGACCTACACGGACTTATCTGCAACCTAAGACATATTGACATTCATCCACCAAATTACAGGCTGCTGATAATTCCTCCTGTGGCACCAGCAGCTGCTGGACTCAGAGCCCTGGCTGCCAGCAGGAATTGGATGGGGTTTGGGAGCCCTTTCCAGAGCTGGATCTATTGTATTTGCAGGGACTGCCCTGACAAAGGCAGAAATGATGCATTTGATTTTAGGGTTTTTAGAAGGTTAATTTATTACTTTATTATATTAAAGAATATTATATTAAAGAATATAAAAATATTTAAACGATATTATATTAAAGAATATTATATTATATATATAATATAATATATATAATTATATATTACATTATGTTATGTTATGTTATGTTATGTTATGTTATGTTATGTTATATTATATTATATTATAGTATAGTATATTATATTATACTAAAGAATACAGAAATTTACTGAATGTTAAAAAGATAATAATGAAAACTTGGGACTCTTTTTAGAGTCCCGACACAGCTTGGCTGTAATTGGCTAACGAGTTAAAACAACTCATACCAGAATTTAATTAGGTAATTACTTTTGGGTAAACAATTTTTAAATACGTTCTACGCGAGCAAGACACAGGAGAAGCAAATGAGATAAGAATTGTTTTCCTTTTCTTTGAGGCTTCTCAGCTTCCCAGGAGAAAAATCCTGGGCAAAGGAATTTTTTCAGAGAATGTGAACGCCACATGGATCCAACTCTCCCCTGAACTGATAAAGAGGAACTTAGAGAACACACCACAACTTTTGTAGGTTTTATATAAGGATTAATACCAGTGCTGAGGTTGCTTTTGCAATCCACCAATACTTGCAGAAAAATAAACTTTGTGCTAACCAGACCAGGTTCCCAAATTGGATGCAGATCAAGGCGTATGAGCAGACTCCACAACAGCCATCCACAGCAACTTCAAAAAAGGAAAAATTTTTAGGGGACTGCTTTAAAAGTAAATATTTTGCATCCACCTCCATGTTGAAATTCACCAATGTAAATTAACTTGAGAGGCTTTGGGTAAACATGGAGATACACTCCAGTACTTTAGGAAATCACCAACAATTTCCTTGGATTTTTAAAAGAAGACTGCAAAATATGCACATTTTGCTATTATTACCCTTAGGTAGTTTACTTTTAAATACATTTTGCAAAACATTCTGTTAAACTGAGCTGGGCCAAATCAAATAGCAACAATTAGTTCATCTGTACTTCTGCTTTTCTGTGGCAGGGTGGGAATTTTGCTAATAATACCACGTACTTTTGGATGCACAGAGATGTATTGAGCCATGATTTTTAAATACCAGTGAAAATCCCACCGAATTACGTGGGATTTACTTCCTTCCTGTACACTGCTCCTACCCCTGCTTACCAGGAGAGCTGCACAACTCACTGCTGAGCCAGGCCCAAGATGTTAAAAAATGGCTAAAAGTGACCTGGCTGCGCTGGCCAGCCCTGGATGCTGCTCATGGCTGCCTGGAGGAATTTGTTATGGATATTGAGCAACCATCCCCTCTCCTCCTGCTCCCTGAGGATGGAAAATGCAGCCCCAGCAGGTCCTCCCAGCTGAGTACCTGGGAGTATCTCCATCTGTGGCACTTGATGCTGCTTGGTTTAGGCAGGGAGGGCACAATCCTCTGCAGGTGGCTGAGGATGATCTGCTGCACCTCCTCAGGGTCTGAGTCCAGGTGCTCGCTGCCAAAGGACACAGTGGTGTGCACCACGACTGAGGGCCCCATTTCAGCAGACTCTGCAGGAAAGAAAGGAAGAGGAGAGGTGCTTTTGAAGCATTGCTCATTCACATCTGCCTTCCCCACATGCTGACAATTGTGCCTCTGGCCTGGGAGTCAGTAAGAGCAAAAATATCTGTGGTACCACTCTTTTCTCCCAGATGGGAAAAAAGCACATGGAATGAGAACACAAGTCAGGGAGGAGAATCTCTGCAATAGCCTGGCCTTGGACACTTCCAGGGATCCTGAGGCAGCCACAGCTTCTCTGGGCAACCTGTGCCAGGGCCTCAGTGTAAAAAAATTGGTGGTTTTATCTCATCTAAATCAACTCTCCCTCAGTTTAAAACCATCAGACTTTGTCCTAACAGAAAAATTTGTTTTCATCTATGAAATCATAGCTCAAGTGCTGACATTGATCCCAGCAGACTTGGAAAGGGCCAGGCTTTGTTTTCTGCAGCAGATGATTCCTGTCCCCTTGGCATGTTGGCTTGTCACCTTACAGACATGGCCTAACGACCAGCAGCCAGAGAATTTGCCTGGATTAGGGGATTTTTGGGTGACCCTATGAGCAGGATGGAGCAGGACACAATGTGGGTTATGCTGCATTTCAGCTGAGCTGGCTGTTCAATCAAGTGATTCCCTCAAATCCCTCCTTGGGAAGCCTCTCCAGGTTAGACCCTTGTTTGGACTAGCACATTCTCAGAAGAAGATTTTATTTTCAGCAAACCAGTGTTTTCTGACCCAGGAATCCACAAAGAAAGAGGTGCTTGAACACTTGCTGACCATTCTGGCTGTTAGGCACCAAGCTTGATGAACTCCTTATCTCTGCCCTGCCACTGAAGAAACCAGATCCTCAAGATCCGCTCTGGGAAGGTGACACATTCCAGCTTTCCAAACCAACTGTTGGAGTGCTCAGGGGTCGTTCAAGGGTCTCCAGCAGAAAACTGTCCATGGATGTGATAGGCACACATCTCCCACAGGAGTGTTCTCCTCATTTTAGGGGAACAGCATTGAGTATTTTTCTCACATTGCTGCCCAAAACCTGGAGCCGTAACGGATCCCGATAAAACCGCGATGTGTTTGTTTCCTGACCCTCAGGGATTTCTAAGCTTCCTGGGGAGATGTGTTTTGCCATGTGAGCCCTATTCTGGTCCTGGCTAGCAGGAGGAGAAGGGGTTTTGCCACACCAAACAAGCCCTGGAAGAAGGGAATGCTGCTGGGTGAGCGTGGAGGGCAGCAGAGAAGCTGGACACCTCCGGACAGGCTGGAACTGCATCCCTGCTCTCTGGGAGGCTTCACACGGTGCCAAAAGAGAAGTCAATGTGCAGGCCTCAAAAACCCTACCTAAAAGTTCAAAAATATCAACTTTACAGTGATCAACCTTACTACACGTAGAAAGCAAGAGAGGTGGAGGGTCACTTTCACAATGCCACGCTGCTGTTTGAGAAGAGGGCCAGCAAGCTTCCCCATTATCCTCAGAAATTCCTGTGGTTCCTAAAGTCCCATGTTCTCCCTGGAATAAAATCTACTCCGTGAGAAGGCACATTTGGGAGGAGTCATGGAAAGAATGGCACTAACTTTTTCATATTCAGAAACCCAGCATTTAATTAGCCTTACCAACAGTTTCTGATTATTTTTCTAAAAGGCAGGCAGAGCTGGCAGAGGATTACAACACAACCGGCTGCACAACGAGGCAAGAACTTAAATAGTTCTTTAACTCCTTCATCTTCCTAAAAATTCTTATTTCAGGAAGGAAAGGAATCTCTATTTCAAAACTGAAGAGGATAGTCAGGAATTATACAATGCCAAAAAACCTGCAAGGCAGATCTTCCCTTTAAATTACATAACCCCACAATCCTGGAGCAAAAGAAAGGAACCACTTCCCCTTTGATGTGTCATCTATCTTTAGTCCTCCTGGAATGCAGAGAGATGCAAAGACTGCAGTATTCCAGAAATAATTGATGCTGGAGAATTCCCACTGTCCCCCCCGACCTGGTATAAATATGGATGGGGTGTTTGAGGCAGCCAATCCCACAAAGTGTTTAATATTCATGCACGCCACACAGGGAATTCAGCACACGCTTCTGGTGGGCTCTCCCTTACGTAACATCACCTCTGCAGGCAGGCATGGGATTCTGCCCACAGCAGCTGGGATCCTCAGCTGCTGGGAAAAGCCTTCCCTCCTGGAGGCTCCTGGTTACACCAGGAATTGGGGGCATCAGGGATAATTGCTTTATCAAACCCACCCTGCTGTGTGATGACAGCAGCAAGGCCGGTTTGGGTTTCACTGGTGCAACGCCCACGAGTTGGATGTCTCTGCTTTACTGAGTCGAGGCAGGGACTGCCACATCTCACACAAGTGACAAGGACACTCTGGGCTTCCAACAGCCTTTGCTGCTGGCCTTTGAGGGCTGGACTAGCTGCTTTAGGGAGATGTTACATGAGTCCCTCAGCAGAAAGCTCACGGGATCATAGAATCATAAAATGGATTGAGGATCGTCCAGCTCCACACCTCCTGCAGGGGACAACTACCAGCTATAGTTATTTTCTCTGGATCTCTACTGTTCAAGGCTGTTTATTAAAAACCTATTTGAGGTGGCAGTGAGGGTGAGATAAGCCTCCATTTATTGTTGGATACATCAGGTGAAGAAACAACTGGAGAAAGTGATGGCTTTTAGGGAATGATGACTGCCCTGGAAGATCTCAGCTGCCTCACCCAGCAATTCTGCTTGCTGTGAATGTTTACTTTTTGGTTGTCACCATCCTCTTCTTCAAATGAGTCCAAATAATCAAGGTTGAAGAACGAAGGAGTGGGAAGATGATGAGTGGAGTGGAGTTAAAAGGGACAGCAAGGTGCTCCTGTGCCTCCCACTGAAATCTTCTGCAGGACACTTAAAAGCACAGGAAGAAAAATGCAGATGCAAAATACTTGCATATGTGCTAAAACAAGCATAAAGGAACTTTTTATTCATGTGTTTTGGTTGCAGGACTTCACATGTAAATAAATTTCACACTCAACCTCCCTTGCCTGTGCTGTCTAAAGCCTGTCTCCTAGGAAGAGACACACACACACAATTTGTTCTTCTAAGAAAAATTTGCTCATATAAACAGAACTCTCCCACAATTCAAAGGAAATTTTCAGTGAGAAAGGTATGTGTCAACACTGATGTTCTGGTACTTTCTATGTATTTGTCAACAATATGCCCCAAATAATGTGCTTTGTTCTTGGTTCAATTGCATCTGGAGACAGCAAAGCTGTTTGATAATTCCATCACAGTTCCATATTTGCTGGTTTTGGTGCTGGGGCTTTGAGACCACATGTGCAGAGAGGTGGGGAAATTATGGGTGAATTCCTGCTTGACAATGGTAAGGATAATATCAGCAGGTCCTATTAACTATCAGGTATTTTTCATTGAACACAACAATGGAAACAGAATCTCAGATGCAAGAAAATCTCCAGCTGAACGCTGTCAGTAACAAGGAGACAATGCCAGAGGAAAAAAGATCTCTCTGTATTTGGCTTTCCTTAGGCTCTTTTTTCACATATTCACCTAAGTCCCTGCTGGAGAAAGCACATCAGGGTGTCTGCATCTTTATTTTGGCCAGTCCAGCCATTCTTCTCTTTTGTCAGATCAACAGGCTAAATTCTTAGGCTAAACAACAAATTTGACTTGCACAGAGGATGGAGAATCTCTCTTACAAGGAAGGAGAGCTGGGAGTGTTTTTCCTGGAGAAGGGAAAGCTCTGAAGAGATCTCAGAGCCTCTTCCAGTGCCTAAAGGGGCTTCAGGAGAGCTGGGGAGGGATCTGGGACAAGGGATGGAGGGACAGGACAAGCAGGAATGGCATCCCAGTGCCAGAGGGCAGGGATAGATGGGATATTGGGCATTAGGAATTGTTCCCTGGCAGGGTGGGCAGGCCCTGGCACAGGGTGCCCAGAGCAGCTGTGGCTGCCCCTGGATCCCTGGCAGTGCCCAAGGGCAGGCTGGAGGGTGGAAGTTGTCCCTGCCCGTGGCAGGGGGTGGAGCTTTGGGTCGTTAAGGTCCCTCCAAGCCAAACCATGCTGGATTCTGTGACTCTAACTGGTCTGCCAGTGTTTTTTCTTGGGCTATTCTATGCCATCCCACTCCTGGTAGGTGAAAGACATTTAATAAATAAAACACACACTTCCTCAGCTGCCATCCTCCAGAAAGACAGGAGAAGGGTTTGTCTTGGGGCATACTCTCCAAGCCCTGCTGAGCATGTGCAGCCATTTCAGGGGCTCTCCCTGGTCACAAAAGCAGCCTGGCCGGCTCTGAACTGGGCTGAGAAGCTCCAATTACCCAAAGTCATTCTTGCTTCCAAGCCTTGAGGAAAGAGCAGGAGCTGGGTGATGGGAGACAAACGGGCGAGTGCACAGACCAGTGTTTAAACAAAGGAACCCCAGCTCTTTCCTGGAATAGCAACATTTTGATGTCTCCAATCCCCTGACACTGGTCTCATAAAGGCAGTAACATAAACCATGTGCTGGGGGCTGACTTTCTGAGGGCCAGCCCGCTCTCATTGTGTGCTTCATTACAGGCCAAAGGCGACATGAAACGCCATCCGCCGCGGCCGGGAGTTGAACACTGGAGTTAAACACTGCCTCTGTTCAGAGCAGCAACACTCAATTAAACAGCATTTCTCATGCTCTGCACCCTCCATTGTGGCTGTGTTTAAGGGGAATAATGGGAGCACTGACCTATATTGCGCTTCTTGTTATCGATGGAGATGAAGCGCACGCAGGGATTATCGGCGATGTAGCGAGCGGCCCAGGGGACACCAATCCCTGTGCCAGCCTCATAAAACAGTCCCAGGGCATAACGGGATGAGTAGCTCACAGATTCCAGTTGCTGCTTTTGACTTTCATTAATTACTGTGAAAAGAGAGGGAAAAAAAAAATAAAAAAAGGGAAAAGGAAATCAGACAATCCCTCTCCGCTCAGAACATTAAATATGGGAATGCTGCGGTTAAGCTGATTATTCCTTCCTGAAAATGACCAGACTGCTAAAACTAAGAATTTAATATTAAGCCCAGTGCTTTGTAGGTTTTTTTGTGTTTTGGTTTTTTTTTTTTTAATTTTTTTTTCTGGGACACCTCTTCATGAAGTTTTAATGGTGCATTATGTGGAGTGTGTCCCTCCCCCAGCTGCTGGGGGTTCATCACCCAGCTCTCACTTCTAACTTGAAATTTCGATGACTTTGGTGACTTTTTGTTTCAAATCTTGCCTCAAAGGGTGAATAAACAGCAATAAAATGCTTGGGTTGCCTCAAGGACATCAAGTAAATGGTCCTATGGCTCGACAAGCACCAAAATTATTTCACATATCAACAAAATGAACTCAGAGCCTCTTGAACCTCTGGGGAGAAGAGCCCTGTGACTTCTGTGCTGCAATTCAAATGAATGAAGAAAACCACACTTCAGCCTGCAAAAGGTTTGTAGTGAAGTTCAGCTCCTTCAGCTGAAGGAATTTTAAAGCAGTTTGGAAAATTTCAGAGCAAGCACGAATCCTAATTCCTCCCTATGATTAACTCTTCTATCTTCTAATTACAGCAAGATCTGCTTTTTTGCTGCAACTTCGTAATCTTCATAAAAAGCTGCACAAAGTAGCTTTAGCCCCACGGTGAGCATTCAAATACTATTTAATTTCATGCCACAGGGAAATCCACCAGCTTGGCTAATTGTGGAGTTCAGTCCCATGTCTCTCCTCCTGTGACTGGATGGATGTCCAAGGCTCCTGTGAGCTGGAGCAGCACACAGCAGAGACAACAGCTCAGCTGATGTTGCATGAGGAAAGGAACAGCTCACCCCACAATGGGGCAGGCTGACCAAACTCATGGCACAGCACTGTGTCCTGCCAGCTCTCCCAGCTGAGGGGCTCCTGGTGGGTCTCCCCCACCAGCCTGACCTAATGCCCAGCACACCAGAAGATCACAAGTCAGATTCTGTCACAGACATCTTTTATGGAAAATCCTTTCCTTAGGATTTTTCCTCCTGAGAAGCTGAGAAGCCTCAGGAACAAAATGTAAACAGTGATTATCTGCTGCTGTGGAATGCAACAGGTGCATCTGTGATTGGTCTCATGTGGTTGTTTCTAATTAATGGCCAATCACAGTCAGCTGGCTCAGACGGAGAGCCCCAAGCCACAAACCTTTGCTATCATTCTTTGCTATTCTATTCTTAGCTAGCCTTCTGATGAAACCTTTTCTTCTATTCTTTTAGTACAGTTTTAATGTAATATATATCATAAAATAATAAATCAAGCCTTCTGAAACATGGAGTCAGATCCTCATCTCTTCCCCAATCCAAGAACCCCTGTGAACACCGTCACAAGATTCCACCTCAAATCCCACCAGAAACCAACCCTGAAATGCCCCCAAGGGGAAAAAAAAACCTGAAAAAACTAGGGGTGTTTTTTCACACATTTTCCCCACAAATTTGTTGGGGAACAGAGAAAATGAGAGAGCAGAAAGAAGCACTGACCAAGGCACAAAACCTGGGGAGAGGAAAGGAGGAGAAAAAAAAACATCTGCAGTAGGTGGTGGTGGGGGAAGCAGGACTGGCTGAGCACAAAGGGCTTTGAAGAAGCTCCCTTTGCCTCTCCAGTTCTCCCTCTGAGAAGGGGCTGAGAGGAGCTGCCTCTCACCCCTGCACTCAGATCTTCCCAAGAAGGATTTACCCCAAGGTCACTCTGCTTTCTTCCTCCCCTGGGACCCACCCAGGGCTCCAAAGGCCCAGAGCAGCCTGGCATGCCCATGGCAGGGCTCTGGCTTCCATCCCAAATTTCTGTGCTGCTCAAAGGCTGACCCAGGCTCCTCAGGCCTGTCTCATTTCCATCCTCTTCCACAGCTTCCCTGCAGCTCCTGCAGCCCTCAGGAGAGGGATGGGGATGGATTTCTTGGCTTGGAGGGGAAGGCAGGGATTAAGCAGGGCTTTGGGGCAGGCTGGAGGGCTGCCCTGGAGGAAAGGATGCCAGAAGGAGAGGACCTTGCACATCCCTCCCTGCTGGAAGTGTTCCCTGGCCTGAGTTCCTGTGAGCTTAACATGGTGCCAGCACCCAGGAACATCCAGGGCTCTCCTCCAAGCAGCAGCAGAGATTTCCCTAGGGCTTGTCCCAGCCCAGCCAGGGCACAGAGCTGCTGCTGAACACATTAAACCCAGCCCAGGGGACAGATCCCACACAGAAGCCACCCCCTGTCCCCTCTCAGGAAGGAGCTGTGCCCAGCTGGGCTCCCAAATGTCCATCACCACCTTCTTACAGCCACCACAAATAACCACACTGCATTGCACATCCTTGCTGTGCTCCAAAAGAATAGAAAAGTCCTATAAACAAACAAATATGAAGTTGAAACATCCCATCTAGAACACTACACCTTGTCCAGGTTGCTCTGGCTACTCCTTTTCCCTTGGGGAAAGGAACATAAACAAGACCTCCTCCAAATTCCATGCAATGGAGCTGAGCTTCTCTGCTCCTCAGGGTGGGAATCTGCTCCAGGTTTATTACAGGGAACCCCTGAGCAGGTACAACCTTCACAACACACAGTGCTGCCAGAGCTGGGGTGGCCAGCTGGCTCTGAAGCACCTGGTTTGAGAGCCACCATGTCCATATGGAGCTGCCTTCAGGAGGTGTCAGGGGTCACCAGGATGTCTCTGGGGTTGAACAGCCGCACGTTGGGCGCCAAAATATTGGAATTAAATCCCACTATTGCCGGATGGAACGTGCCTGGGCTCGTCTGACCCTTGCTACTTGACCAAAGGTGGCAGCTGTGGTGGTTTCACCTCAGCGACAGCTTTGGCTGGCTGGGTGTGTGGTGTTTCACTCCAGAGACACCTTTGGCTGGCTGGGTGTGTGGTGTTTCACCCCAGAGACACCTTTGGCTGGCTGGGTGTGTGGTGTTTCACCCCAGAGGCACCTTTGGCTGGCTGGATGCTGCAGCTGGGCGACTGGGACAAGTCCAGGCAAGCAGGAACTCAGGTTTACCTCTGGTGGAAAGGCTTTAGGCGATGGTGAAGGAAAAAGGAATCAGGTTCTGCTGGAGGGTTTGGATCTTTATTCCTAGCACTCAGGTCTCTGAATGCAGCAACAGCTCCAACAGAACCAAGAACCGCGTGGTTGCTGCTCCCTTAACCCCAGGGAGAGGGGGAGGGAAGGGGTAGGGATCCCACCAACCAGGTAAGGGGGGCGAAGTCTCAGGGGACAAATGACAGCTGGATGGCCCAATGTCCCCAGGGCTGAGAGGCATCTTTTGAACTTCGCCCTTGCTGAAATGCCAAGATTGACAGACAGCACTCAGCAAGGGGGCAAGGGAGGGGAAGGGAGAGGTTATTGGCGCACCTGGGGGAGGAATTGGGATAGTTGAGACAGGCTATTACACCACACCGCAACAAGGATGGATGCTGGATAGCTAGATTGAGGATAAACAGAGATTTTGTCAGGTGCAAACAGGCCCCTGCAGGTGGTGCTTGGCCAGGGGATGATGGGGAAGTGCAGGATGGAAGGACACCAGCCCAGCTGGGCAGGCCAGGACAGGGGAGAAGAGGGAAGGGAGGCACCTCCAGGGCTGGGACCTCCCAGATCCACGGGCTGTAACCAGCCAGGGCAGCTCATTCTCATGGCCAGGGAAGGAACAGCTTGGGAAGAAGTGACTTTTCCAAGCCTTGGGGAGATGTATAACATCCAGGATGAGGACAGGCTGCAGTGCCCAGCACCTGCAGGTGTTTGGGGACAGTGACAGGCTGCTCACCTGGTGACATATGAACCCCAGAGGAGCTCACACAGGATCCCCGAGGCTGGAAAATCCCTGCCAGCCCACGGAGTCCCAGCTGTGCCCAGTGCCCACCTTGTGCTCAAAGCACTGAGTGCCACCTCCAGCCCTTCCTGGGACACCTGCAGGGCTGGGCACTGCAAAGCTCCCTGGGCAGCCCCTGCCAAGGCCTGAGCACCCTTTCTGTGAAAAAAGGTTCCTCCAGACCCCCAGGCTAAGGCAGAGCTGGGAGGGAACCTGCAGGCTGGCAGCAGGAGGGCCCTGGAGCCCTGGCCAGGCTCAGGGCAGCTGTCCCAGGTCACTGGGGCCACATCAGGGCATCCTTGGGCATGGGGATCCCCCAGCATCCCATCCCAGGGCTGCTCCCCTGGGGCTGCCTGGGGTTCTCTGTGCCCTAGCTGTGCCTCTGGTCTCTTTCTGACCACACCAAAAACCAGAACTGATTAAAACCCATCATCCCCAACAGTCAGAGTTACACCCCAAAATTTGAAAGTGCATTAATTCAATTACTGACGTGTGTTTGCCAACTAATTTCCTTCACTACGACTTAGGTTCTTAAAAAAAAAAAGTCTGTGGTTCACTGGGTTCTAAGCAGCTGCACATTTACCAAATGGAGGAAGTTTTTATAGCTTGAGAAGACAGGCAAGAAAGTGACGTCAAATTTGAAATCCAGCAGCTACAAAAAAAGCTGAGCTATGTGCAAAAACAAAGCTAAGAGTTGTAGGATTGAGGTTTTTTCCCCTGCTCCATCCATGCATTTCAGCAAGGCCAACAAGTTGATCTAAGGACATGGAGAGAACCTTCATTTTGAATTTCCATACTTTTATTGGTTCAAATGAAAACCAGACTGTTGTTTTAACGCTGGGTATGAAACCACAAAATAACTATTAACTTTTCCCCTTCCAACAAAAACGGTTACGATGATTTTAATAACATTTTGGAAATAAAAAACAACAAAACAACCCAAGCTTTCAGAACACAGAATTGCCCAGCATAGGGCCATAGTGATATTTTTAAAGCAACGCATGAAGACATGAAAATCTTGTATTTTCCACTGCAAGACTCAGCTCCAGCTGCACTGTGAGCCACTGAAGTGAGTGTCCTCTGGAGA